GGAAAGAGAGGGAGAGAAAGAGAGAGAGGGGGAGGGAAAGAGAGGGAGAGAAAGAGAGAGAGGGAGGGAGAAAGGGAGAGGGAGGGAGAGAAATCGAGAGAAAGAGAGAGGGGGAGAAAGAGAAAAAAGAGAGAGGGAGGGAAAGAGAGAAAGAGAGAGAGGGAGAGAAAGAGAGAGAGAGAAAGAGGGAGAGAGGGGGGAGAGAAAGAGAATGAAAGAGAGAGAGGGAGAGAAAGAGAGAGAGAAAGAGGGAGGGAGGGAAAGAGAGAGAAGGGGGAAGAGAGAAAGGAGGGAAAGAGAGGGGGAAAGAGAGAAATGACATTACAAAAGTTTTTCCTTTCTATTGTTGCTAAACATAATATTTCATAAGCAGATAAAAAATGAAGGGGCGTAAAAGTGCATTTATCACATTTTTTTTCTTAGAACCGTTAGCTGAACTCTGCATTGTTTATCATTATTTTAGGTAGTAAAACCTCATTATTCAGGTGAAATCGCCGTGCTGGCACATGGTGATCAATCAGTGGGTTTTGGGGTGCAGTTTGGGCACACGGCCTCTAAAAGCTTCGCCATCACTGCCCTACAGTTATCTGTGATCAGTGGATCCCAAAGAGCAGCAAGGGAGGCAGAGAGAGACAGAGAGAGAGATCTCACAGGCTTGGAATCGAAATTCTTCCTTAAAGGGTGTGACACTCTACTTCCACACTAGATTTGCTCTTGGTTAAGGTCTGCCCTGTGGCCTCACTGAAGGCGCTTTCTAGGGCAGCCAAAATGGACGTCCGTAGCTTCTCCCGGAAGTCCTGCCCCACAAAGACGTACAGGAAAGGGTTCAGGCAGCTGTTGAGATAAGCCAGGCTTGAGGCCAAGGGTATTCCCACCACCAGAAAGGTCTGTAGTCCAGGCGTCACCCCGGCCGCCGACATTTCCAAGAAGGAAAAGACATGATAAGGGAGCCAGCAGATAAAGAAGGCCACGACCACGGCCACCATGATCTTGAAGGGCCTACTCGAGCGGGTGAGGCGAGTCCCCTTCAGCCTGACCGTGATAATGCCGTAGCAAAGAAGAATGATGGCGAACGGCACCAAGAACCCGGCCACGAAACGGGTCAACACCAAGGCCTGAGCGCGGCGTTCTCCCAGCTTCACAGTCTCCTCGGACTGGAAACCTTCAGATAAGGCGAAATTGTTGTAACAGTGAGTGGTGTTCTCTTCTGCGGGAGAACCTCTCAGATCCCGGAAGACAAAATAAGGAGAACTGAGGGCCAAGGAAGCTATCCAGATGCCCAGGGCCACCAGAGAAGCCAATCGAGGTGTCCGATGGTTCTGGGCCCAGACAGGGCACATGACAGAGACGCAGCGGTCCATGCTGATGATGGTGAGGAGGAAGACGCTGGCGAACATGTTGAGGAAGGCCACCGTGCTGATGAGTTTACACAGCGGCTTCCCAAAGGGCCAATGGAAGCCCAGGGCTATGTAGGCCACGCTCAGCGGGAGGAACGAAGTGAAAACCAGATCGGCAATGGCCAAGTTGAGGAACCAGACAGCATTCACCGTCCTCTTCATGTGGAAGCCCGTGATGAAAATGACCAGGCCGTTTCCAGCCACCCCTAACAAGAAGGCGACGCTGTAGATCACCATGGAGAGGATGTGCATCGAGTTGCGGAGGCTTGCGTTCTCCTCCAAATCAGGATAGTCCTCATAATCTTCATACAGGCTTTCCGGAGAGGTGGTGTTGGCAGCCATTTTGGTAGAAAAGAATCTGTTGGAAGGAAATGGGAGAAGATGGAAATATCACTTCACACACCAAGTTGATGATGCAAAAGGAACCTATGGCTGTTTTGACCAACATTTTAAGCTGTGGAACTACCCCATGATCCTGCTAAAAAATTTAGATTGTATACCATGTTCCCCCGAAAATAAGACAAGGTCTTATTTCCTTTTGACCCCTGAAATAAGCGCTTGGCCTTATTTTTGGGGAGGTCTTATTATTTTTGAGGAGCATATTTACCTCACTGCTGCAATATTTTCAGGGAGGCCTTATTTTCAGGGGAGGGCTTATTTTCAGGGGAGGGCTTATTTTCAGGGGAGGGCTTATTTTAGCGCATGCATTCAAAAGCCCAATTGGGCTTATTATCCGGGGAGGTCTAATTTTTAGGGAAATGGGTTGTTTTGTTTTAATAGCGCTAGAAACCAGCAAACTCTGACTTCTAGTCCCGCCTTAGGCATGAAAGCCAGCTGAGTGATTTTGAGCCAGTCACCAGGAGACTGTAAATTTTAGTCCTGCCTTAAGCATAAAAGCCAACTGGGTGAACTTCAGGCCAATCACCAGGAGACTGTGAGTTCTAGTTATACTTTAGGCATGAAACCTGGCTGGGTCAATCACTCTCTCTCTCTCTCAGCCCAGCCCACCGCACCCCACAGGATTGATAGGGTACTTGGGGTGTTTAGCTCTAAAGTGGAATATTCCTTAAATATCTGCATCAAAAACCGAGAGTCTTCTCACATTCCAACATGTCTTCTTGACAGAGATTTTGTGGAAGAGTGCTTAAACAGTGTTCAAACAATTCTTGCAGCGCAACAATGAGCCACAAGATGGCAGCAATCAACGTTCTTTTAATCGAGAGGTAGTGCTGGAGGTGTGTGTTTGTGTGTGTTTAACTTTCCCAAACTTGAAATAATTCATTATCTCTGGAGCATCTATTTCAGTGGTGGGTTTCAGGCGGTATACCCCAGTACGGGCGAACTGGTGCCTGCTGGGACCACCAGGTACCATTCCAGTACGGTGCTCTGGAGGGCCCACCTGCCTGCCCGAGCTCCTTACCTCTTTGGTGCTTCCACACATGTGCACGGAGCATACAGCACCTGCGTGACGCTCCGCCGAGCAGCTGGAGTGTTGCGGAAGCGTTGCGGAGGTAAGGATACAAGCGCATGCTGCACTGTACCGGTTGCAATGGAATCTGGAACCCACCACTGATTTATTTGGCCCTCCAATTGACGCTGAGTGTGGTGTCCTGCTTTGCAACCAGTTGCCCTTTCCGAACATGAGTGCTCCAGGAATTAACTATTTCTTTTTGGGCCCTGGACCCAAAATGTAGTTAAAAACCATTTTAAATTGTTAAATCTCCAAGAGAGTTACTGCTCTTGGAATAACCTCAAAGGCAGAACTGCTTTCACACTTAAAAGCTTATGATCTCATAGGAACTGAAAACGCTTCCTCTGACTCCTTTCTCAGACCAATTAAATGAAGGATACAAGGCTGAGTTCATCCATGATAGGCTAACCCAGGGGTGTCAACCTTGATTTCATTGAGGGGTCGCATCAGGGCTGTGTTTGACCATGGTAAGCCGGAGTGGGCATGGCCAGCTTAACATCACTTGTGTCAGAAGCATCTGTGGTGGCCCCAGCGCTCTGCCCACAGAAACAGGCTCCCAAGCTCCGTTTTCAGCTGCAACAGTCTCCAGCAAACCTCTGCCAATGAAAAGCCCTCCTGAGTTCCGTTTTTTGCTGGCAGAGGCAATGTGGGCTGGTCCTTCACTGTTTTTAGGCTGGCCCCACAGGCTAGATCTAAGCACTGCACAGGCCGGATCCAGTGGTGGGTTCCTGCAGTCATTACTGAGCCGAGGTGGCGCAGTGGTTAAATGCAGCACTGCAGGCTACTTCAGCTGACTGCAGTTCTGCAGTTCGGCTGTTCAAATCTCACCGGCTCAGGG